CACAGAGAGGTTAATCAGCTCATAGGGGCAGAAAATGCAGCCCAGTTTGCCTCTAGGGACCAAGCATGACCTTAAGTTGAATACGTATACTGATTAGAAGAGTGTAAACTCCTTAGGCCTGGTTTTCTAAAATCTGGCTCTAATCTTTATTTCTAAAAAATTCTCTCAGCCCTCCTTATCAAGAAATCTATGCTCAAAGACACTACTTCATGCTGCCTAGAACACAATTTATATTATCCCACCTCTGAACTTTATTCCAGGCTTTTTGTGTTTCCCACCCTACTGAAAACACTTCTCTTAACTAAATTCTATCAATCCTTCCATTGAGCTCAAGGCCAGCCTCTCTATAGAGTCTTTAACAGAAGGCTAAATTATATAATAGCTATCATTTTTGTTGCCATGAAATATATAATACTTTTATTATAAACTTACATTCATTAAAAGTACATACTGAGTTCTAGCTGCCAGGCATAGCATGGGTACTAAGTATAGAAAAAAGGAATAAGCAGATTCCAGTCCTAGATCTCATAATTTAGCCTAGTTAAATGTTTTTTGTGTTGTTCTGGAGGCAGTACAACTGGATTATAATTGCTGATGAGCTAATTCTGCTCATCGTTCTCCCACAGCACCCACGTCACTGTCTTGAACAGTTCTACATAAATATTTAAGGGCTTAATGGTTCACCCTAAAAAGAGAACTACAAACTAAACTACTATAGGCCACCATATTTGCCTTTCTAAATACAATAATGAAATCTAATAGCATAACTTCCTCTCACTTGTTTTACCGGAACTCAACACCAAAACAAAAGCATGCCCGAGTCCATACTGATTTTCCCAGAGCTGCTTCTGCCTTTTACATTAAGGAGATTTCCCTTCATTTGCCTTATTCAGAAATAAAACAAAAAAGAAAGCAAAGATGTATTATTCAAAAGCCCTCTCATTCACTTATATCATACTATGCTATACCAATATTATAGGGATAAACGATAGTCCATGACAGAAGTCTTTTTGTTTTAATTGTGAAAATAAAAAGCAATGGATTACATTTCAACCTCAAACCTAGTCACGTTTTGGGCTAGATAATTCTGTGTTGTAGAGGGCAGTCCCATGAACCGTAGGACGCATAGCAGCATCTCTGGTCTCCATCTACTACAGTAGAAGCAATATTTAAAAACGTCTCCAGACACTACCAGATATCCCTTAAGGGACAAAATTATCCAGGTGAGAACCACAGCTGCATTTTATAAATATAAATTAATTAATTACTTACTCTATGAGTGCTTAAACTGTCAATAGTGAAATATACTTACATTCGGAGATCCATAATTCTCAAAGTACTGTCTTTGGTGTGGATTAACAAACGTTTCCCATTGGGATGAACCTCCAAATAACTTATTGGAATCCCCTTAAACTCACTCTCTTTAATTTCCTAAAATAAAAAAAATTAAAAAAAGATTACAAATAATTACCACTGTAAAGTTTGTCTAATGTTAAGCCCTTTAGAGAGTATAAAAGAATAAAATTAATTTTAAGACATCATTTTCAATTGTACTATACAGTATGCTTTAAAATTGTTTAAAAGGATTCCCAGTAATTTCAATCTAAGTTTGAAAATAAAGCTGATGACAGTATTTTTTGGTTGTTATGTAACACCACATTAGTATGTGTTTTTGTAGTATTTTCCCAAAAAAGAAGCACTTCCTGCAAACTTATCTTCTAACATTGCATTTTCTGTTTATCATTATATTAAAAAAATTCTATTTTTCACAAATACAAAAGTAAGTACAGAATTAACTTTCAAGTTCTATTTCAGTCTCAGGTTATTTCTTCATACACTTACTTTCACTTGTCCTGAAAATGGTATGTTATCAGTAGACAATTCTGAAATCATTTAATTTAGATTATAATTTTAAGTGGGTTTGTTTTTTGTTATTTATAGTTATTTAAGGCAGCAATAGAAGACACCTGATTAATGATGTCAAGAAAGACATAAACACTGAAGGAGAATCTGCCTGAACAAGCCTTGCTAATTATATAGAATAATTACCGAATTTTCTGGTTTGCGTTACCAGGGAAAAAAAACAATTACAAATGCAAAACTGCTTAGACTGAACTCCACAGAGTCAAAGGGAAGTATGCTTTAACCTGCAGGCAGAATTATGAATTTTCCTTCTCCATAAGGACCCCTTATTATTTTTTGCTCCCTTCTAGTGCAGTCTCCTCTTCAAAGGTGGGCTGGCACCAGCAAAGGTAGGGTACAAAATGTTACAGTTCCAATTATCAGCAGCTGAGCCCTTGCTATAGCTATCTGACACCAAGGCCTGCAGTCAGCTCCTTTTCAAAAAGCTACAGAAAAAACCCAACACTGACATCACAGATGGTGGTTTTACTGAGCTGAACAACCACTTGAGGGTGGGGATGCACTGTTGGGGGCTT